GCACCCTGGTGGGCTGGGCTGGTTTGTTTACCTGCCGTGTCCGCAGGTTCGGCCGATTGTGGCTCCCTCTGGCCGTGGTTCGCCACTCCAAGCCAATGGGGCTGTGAGAAGCCGCGACCAGCACATCCCTCAGCCTGCGCCGCTTCCCACAGCCCTAATTGGCCTGGAGCGGTGAACCGCGGCCAGTGGGAGCCGCGATTGGCCAAACCTGTGGACATGGCAGGTAAATAAACCGGCCCGGCCCGCCAGGGTACTTACCCTGGCGGGCCGTGTGCCAAAGGTTGCCGATCCCTGGATTAGATTATCATGATGGGCATTAGAATTAGGATGTCAGGACAGAAAATCTAATTGCTCATCACATCCCAGAGACAGAGAAAGTTATGGCCAAAATTCTGAGAGGGAGAAGGGCCACCTTATGCTTTTGGTGCAGGAGTCTCCTGTGGTGAACTCAAGAAATGACTTGCCACCATTTACCGTCATAAAACTGAAATGTTCCTAAGTTTCTTGGATAAAAGTGCAGTGGGGAGAGATGCATTTTCATCCTCCTGGTGGTGTCTCCAATTCCTTTTCCTATTTTCCTCTTTCTGGTTCTCTGCAAAGTGTTAGCAAAGGAAATGAAGAACTGCAGAGTATGGTGATGTCTAGGTGCGTCCAGGTCATAGTTTTTCTCTCTTGTACAATTCAGGTTACATTTCCCAGTAGTCTTGGGGAAGTTGATAACTGATCTAGATATATATGGATGAGGGACGAAGACAGTGAATTATGATTATTGCATGTTTTCTGTCTGGCAACCTATGCAAAATGAAGGATTCTACAACCAGACTGCTAAACAACTGCTTTCAGATTAGAAAAATGCAATGACTAAATCATCCAATTGTTTTCACACAGACTTTGTTGTATGGACATATTCAGTGCCTGGGAGTAAAAATTCTCTTTCTGGAGCTAAGATTGGTTCTGGACAATTTAAGCAACAAAGAGGCAGGTGGTACTTTTACTGCCACTATTAAAATCTAAAGGTGCAATTCTGGCTCCATTGGGATCAATGGGGATCGGATTTCATCTTAAGCCTCTAGTTTGGCTTCTTTTTTCCCCTACAGGGAAAGCCATCAGACAGTTTAAAGGTCACTTA